TTATAGTTCTTGGGGGGCTTTTGTTTCTGCTTTTAGCTGGATCAGTTTGTCAGGACCAGGTTAGGGAGCAATTAAATGTGCAGTTATGTTGGCAGATCTGAGGGGGCAGCTGGATCAGAAGCAACACATCTGACCATGCTCTAAATAAACATCTGTCCAAAGCCTTAGTCAAACAGATGTGAAAAAAAAAAAAGTACCTAATATGTCTTGAACTGAAAATATAATTTATGAGAAACTGCATGTATCAAATTTTCTTCTAAGAGATGCAATTACTAGCTTAAGACATTATAATTTTCTAAAGTACTATGTGAAGTATCTAGTAGATAATTCAGGAAACCAGAATATCATTTAAATGGATAAATGTATGCTTGGAAGTATTTTTTGTTCTTGCAGGACACTGCCAGCTCCACAGGGCTGTGAATTGCTTGATTGAACCAAGTGTATTCTAATCAGCTCTGCATATTGCTGCTATTAAGAATTGAAAAATTCTGGTTTCAGGCTGCAATTTTACATATGTTTTAAAGCAGGTAACTCAGCAATGCTATAAAAGATCTGAGTGCTTCTTATCCTGTAACCCTGACTGCTTTTTTCCAAACCCATTTCTTGGGCTAGCACAAGATTTTAAACAGCCATAGTAAGAACTGATGTAGGTTAATGTGATGCTGGGGTGCTGGACCTACTTCCTGGGCCACTTCACCACTGAGCAATGCAAACACTGATGCTGGCAAAAGGAGAGAGAAGGTTCAGAGGTAGAAATGAGCAACCAGAAGTCACTCAAAGGTGCTTCATTCAGCAGCAGTGCTGCTCTAAAATGTTCATGAAACTGCCTCTTCAATTTAACTTCTGGCAAAAGATTCTTTCAAATCCAGATGATGTACAAAACTGTGAATATGCTGGTCTGAAGTAGAAACAGGATTTGTACTCCTTTGATTCAATCATTGCTGACGTGCAGATATCTTAAGATACATAAGGGCATGAACTAATCTAAAAGCATTTTCTCATTCCTTTATGATGTTCAACAACATGAGAACTCTAATCTCCTCTCTTTTGAAAACCAAAGTAAATAATGTATATAAATTGTGATGTTCTCCTCAGAAATTGAATTAATTCCAGACTTGACTGACAAAACTCTGTGCTAGACATATATATATACACACTTGCACACTGTGTGACTGTGTTGCAAAGTTGAAAACTAAAAATTGGCAATTGAGCATGACCATAAAGAACAGAGACTTTCCCAACTAGTTTGAAAATGTACCTACCTCAGTTATCCCCCAAACACTTTTTGATTTATGTTCTGCTGCTTTAAAAGAAGAAATGGGCCAATATGAAATAATGCACATACTTGTATAGTGGATATTTATACCCAAAATAAACTTTCTCTTGGGAGAATATTTTTAAAGCAACATTTCAAGTCTCCTGGCAATGGTTAGTTAGAAAAGTTATTTATTTAGAATAAAAGTTCTCGGAAAAAATTTAACCACCAACATTTAGGATGCTGTAAGTAAACTTAGTAATTAAAGTTTTTCCCTTTCCCCAGACTACTTTTCATTGCATAAAACATTTAGTATTCATACATGCAGAGGAATGCATAGTATGTATTAAAACAGAGAAAATTATATTTAAGAAATGTATGGGCTATTTTACAAGAGATGATATGTACACACAAAGCAATTCAACTTACTACATGCTGTTGAGTCTAATAAACCTAAAAAAACCCCATATTGCCTTGTCCAATTAGACCTTTTCTCTTGCACCTACATTTTTAATATTTGGCATACGAATGTCAACAATTTATGATTTGCATTTTCTCCAACACTGAAGCAAGAAACACTGAATAAATAACGTTTTCCCTCAAGATATGCAGTATTTCTATTATACAGACTGTGAAATGGAAAAAGAAGGCTGGATACAGCCACGACTCCTAATTTTTTCATTAAATGTAAAGACCTCTTTGCAACGATGCATCTGAAGCTTCATTCTAACTAGCAGACTGAAGCCCACCATTTTAGTTCAACCACAGATTTTTAAGGAAGTGGCAAACCATTGCTGCTAGTTGAGAAAATGAAAATTAGTCCCTGGGAGAGGATACAATCAATGGTGTGTTAATCTAACCTTCAGCTGTTAATGATTTGCACTATTTCCCCTGATGCTGTGGGTTCTGCTGAAATATTGTTTTAGCAGTTTCTGTCAACTTTCCCT